AATCTCAAACTCATAGAAAGATTATTTTCCCATTTCCTTCTTTTTTCTGAAAGCTCTATAAGAATAATCATTGAGACAGGATGCTCAAACACCATTTTAATATACAATGTTTTGGGTCTATCTAGGATTGAGATTTTGAGAAGTGAATCTTGTCTAGAAGAAAAATTGTTTGCCTTATTTGCCATATTTAAAGGGTTCCCAATCCACTGTCATTCTATTGATGTCTCAAATTTAATTGAAAAACTGTGACATGATGCAATTTACACTGAGATCATTTATATTCTTTATGTATTAAGAGTCTCAGAAAATTCTCTATTCTCACGTTGTTTCAGAAAATGCAAATTCTAGGACTTGCAACTCTCCCACTTTTGCACCCATAATTAACACATTTCAAATTTTCCAGAGGTACAATACTGAAAAACTACTTCAGAAAGACCTTACACCACATTCAGACCTTGTGTATCCTAGAGAATTTCTAGAACACTAGGATTTCTATTCATCCCACAAGCAATCCCTCGCCAGTGTCTCAAAGTTCCATTTTCTTTGAACCACATAGTGCTTGTTCATTGTACTCTTTGGACCACTAACTTAAGGTGAACGGAAAGAGTAATGATGCATAGATAAATTATAAAAACTGAATGTACTATTAATGGTAAGAACAATTATTTTAACGCAAGAGAGCTGATCTTATTACTAAACTTTCACTAAGCTTTGGTTCAACAACTAAAACACTGGGCTCCACATATACCCCTTTACTGCTTCAAAATTAGAGTATTCAAAATAGCCACTGAAAATAGCAAGTATGCAGTGGCTCCATCTGACAATTCTGAATATTCAGCTCAGACATGGGTCCAGAATTAATGGAGAGATCTATTAGTGAGTAGTAAAGCGCCAAATCTCACTGAGTCCTGGCAGTTTGATTGATGCCACTTGGAGGTAGGTACTAACAAATTAATCTACTCTTCCATTGTATTCTACTCTAGAGAGAAATTCTTCATATTCTATTCCAGCATCTTGGTGTGGTTTTTACACAGCGTAAGAAGATTTCATTGCTTTGTTTTCTCTAACAAAAGAAAAGCATCAAATACAAGAAGTGAATCAAATCCCTCATTGACTGAGGCATTAGCACCAGTCTGTTTTCTGATTACTTTGTTTTAATCCTAACACCTTATCCTAACCATTGAAAAGTGACAGAAGTTAATCCCTGAAGTGATACATTCTGGCTTGCCAAGATAATTAAGATATTGCTGAGACAAACCATGAATTTGAAATATAGAAATGATTTTTACTAGTAGTATCAATGTTTTTAAAAAATTTTTCCCATCTGGGCTCCTATTGTCACGTTTCCCATTTCCCTCTGCCAATTAGGACTGTTTTGTGCTCACTGCCCCCTCCCTTTTCAGAATGTGCTAAAAAGTACACTCAGTTGCTACAAGGTGACCATAGTTAAAATTCTCAGTAATTCTGTAAGTACAACATTGTAATCGGTATTACTATGGTAGATTGCTAGCAAATCTCTGGAGTACAAGCAATGTATCACTACCTCTAGCTATAACCCTATTATTTTTATTGGCAGATAATAATTGTGCACTATTATGGGATAGAGTGTGATGTTTCAGTATACTAAGTATAGTAAGTCCCTGACTTTCACAGGTGCATTTTATCAAATTCACAGGTATACTGTAGAAGATGCACTTTGTCAGATTACAAATGAATATGATTTATGAACTTCTCCCAGAATGAAATTCATTCCTAAACTGGGGTCTTACTGTATTGATGAACTAGTGTATTTAATTTCCATTATCTTAATAATTTATCATGTGTTTTTATTTTCTGTCTTCTAGCTATTTTGAATTACATGACATACTTACTGTGTAACAGAATACTAGAATTTTTCTCTACCTGTGATGATTAGTCAATCTCCTCTCATGATACTTTCTGCAATACAGACTTGGTTGTCTTTGCTTTACAATATTGTAGCTTTTCAAACTAGCATAAAAAGTGGAAAAGGGGGTCATGCACACTCATTACACAAACATAAATAGGGCAAAGGTGACAGTACACATAGTATGACTTCATCTTGTACTTGAAAATTTTATTAAGTACTAGAACCCTAATACAGACTTTTCTTTAAAAGTCAGTTCATTCATTCAACAATTTTTATTGCATATCTACCATGTGACTAACGTTCTTTTAAATTCTGAAGTTAAATGACAAAATTACCCCCTCTAGAGTTTATCTTCTCCAAGGAGGATAAAGAAATATTAAGCAAACAAAATGGAAAACACAACTCACCAGGGTAGTGGTGAGAATATAAGGGAAGCCTTCTCAGTAGAAGAGACACCTAAACTGAATCTTAATATCTAAGAACTGCCAGAAGGGAGAAATGGGAGAGGGAATAGAAGAAAAGAGTTGTAACATGAGGAAGCAATGGAAATATGCAGATGACACATAGCACATGTCCTGTTTGGAGTGCCCCAAGTTAATGTTGACGTGACTTGTGGAGTAGGAATGAGCAGTGCTCACTTAAGGAGCTTCATCTTTGTGCTTCCAAGATTGGGAAATGTAACAGAAAAAAGTGACAAGATCAGATTTTTCACACAGCTTCAGTGTCCCTGTGGAACTGTTGGGTGTTGTAGCTGCAAAGATCAGTGGAGTTGTACAGGTTCCAATTAAAGTACTCTACTGCTTTTGTTTTTGTCTTGTCAGCTTTGTTCTACTTTGGACCTGCTCAACCTGTTGACCCCCAAATACATCTTTCTTACCCAGTGAGTACGTGTAAGGTGTTCAGTGGTCGATACTTGTCCTTTGGCACAGATCAAAATCCAGACTAGCATAACAAATTACTTCCTTATTCCGTGACAAGATTAGCATACGTGCTTTGAGAAGCAGATTGTCATGAATTACTAGCCTATTCCTTTTTTAGGGCCAGAAAACTGAGAATCAAGAGCTCCAATTTCCTCACATCATTTCAAGCCATCAATCAAATTTACCTTTATAGGGAAACAGACAATATTGCTTCTTCTGTAATGATGCACAACCTTCCCAAGGACCCCTTTTCCTAGAGTTGATGGGTCTCATGAAATGTGAGCAACAGTGTTCTACGTACAAAATTTGGGGAGCATGCATACAATTATATGTAACTGCTCAAAAGGTTTTGCGTTTGAAAAATACATTTTACAAAGTATGCATGTATTATGATTTAGTTCTAAAATGGCCCCTAAAAGTCTCATGGGTTCACAGGTAGAGGTTTTGAAAGGTAATTGAATCACAGGGGCACTATACTCCGCAATGAATGAATCCATTGATGAGCAGACCTGAATGTGCTGTTGGGGGCGGGCCCAGTTGGAGGACAGTGACTGAAGACCAACTGTTCCTTTCTCTCTCTGCTTCCTGGTTGCCATGAAGTGAGCAGCTTTCATGCACCATGCTCTTCTGGCATGAGGCTTCTGATGTGAAGCCAACTGACCATGGACTGAAGCTACTGAAAGTGGTGAGTCAGAATAAACCCCTCTTGCTCTTAAATTATGGTTGTCATACATTTTGGCTCAGCAAACATAAAGCTAAGACACCATGCTTTTTTCTAGTAAGTATTCCATGCAATTTTCCATTGTAGTTATCTATGTAGACAGTGCTCTCCTTACCTCATACCTAGATCTCCGTATGCCTTCTATGGCTTGTCAGGAGCATGTACTGCTTACAAATTTTTCATTGTTCTTGTTTCATTTTGCTTTTGGCTTTGGAAATTGAACCCAGCCTTCACACAAGCAAAGCGTGGGCTCTACCTGAACTATACGCCCAGCACTAGTAAGGTTTTAAAACTCCATTCACTTCCTCAAACCATTTCCCTTTATTCTTCTCACAAATCTCCTTAAAAATAGTAAAACTCATTTTTTATCCTAACACTTATGAATAGAATGCACTATAAATAGGACAACATATCACCACTTTTTCTGCATACCTTATGCTATTGTAAAAGCTTATCTTTACAGAGCTGTAAAAACCAATTTTCCTGTTATTAATTTTCTGTATAAATTTAATATAATACAATGTTCATTATATTCTTGATTAAATATTAATTTATGACCTCTATTTTCTATGGGAAAAATTTCCTAACAAAATTGAGTAACAATAGATAACAATAGTTAATACATTGCATAGTTACAGAGTATAAGATCTGGGCACAAACAAATTCTCCAAATGATATTAGCATAAATTTTTCCTTTCATTGAACTATGAGAAATTAGTAGTATAACTTAGCTTGCATTTTTTTCCCTTTTTCCTTCCCTTCTTTCCCCTTTCCCTACCCCTAGTTCCTTTGGCACACTTTCTTCCCACTTCACAGTATCTGTTGTACATTCTGGTCCTTAGTCTTTCAGCTTCTCAGACCAGGCAGACAATACTGTTTACAAGAGCCTGATTTATTTCACTTATGAGAATGGTCTCAAGTTGCATCCACTTAACAGTTTCAAACTTATCCTTCCTTATGGCTGAGTAGTACTCCATTATATAAAAAGATAGTATTTTTTTATTCATTCCTCAGCTGATGGGCATTTGGATTGTTCCAAAATTATTAAACTCTGCTGCTGTAAGCAGGAGTACACATATATCACTGAAATACAATGTTTTTAATTCTTCTGGGCAGATACCCAAAGGGTAACAGCTGGGTCGAATGGGAACTCTAATCCTAGTTTACTTAGGAATCTCCATACTGATTTCTATAGTGGTTGCACCAGTCTACACTTCCACCAAACATGAAGCGTTGCTTTTCCCCCACAACCCCTCCAGGATTTGTTAATGCTTGATTTCTTGATGATAGCCATTCTTTCTGGAGATGGAATCTCAGTGTTGTTTTAATTCACATCTCTTGAATGATCTCTTTATTGTCAAACAACTTGGTCTTCTCCAACTTTTCCCTATTAAAGCATAATGTTACAAACATACCTGTAGGTACAGTATCTGTCTTGAGAGGTCTCTACGTGAAGTTCACAAGAACAGAATTACTGATACAAAAGTATAAAGAATCTTTATTGTCTTTGATACAAGGTTGATATAATGCTTTCCAAAAAGTATCGTTTCAATATTATAATTCAAGCAAAGTGCATGATATGCTTAAGGAACTGGAATTTTTAAACTTTTGACATAAAAATTTGTTTCTATTTTTTCTCTTAAAAATGGCACAAAATATTTATATACATATAAGGAACCATGTCGTTTTTCAATACATGTACACATGCAATGCTCAAATCAGGGTAACTGACATATCTATCACCTCATATATTTATCATTTCATTGTGGTGATATTTAAAGTCTTTTCTTTTAGATTTTTGAAAGTTAAAGAAGTTGCAAATTAAATCATGGGTGCGCCCTCCACTGACTAAAGTTTACATTCATTCTAGGAAGTTCAGGTCAATGCTTTGAATGTGTCCTTTCATTTCTAATCAACCTCTGTTCTTAAATCTTGTGGGTATTTATTATCAACTTCCAACATGACAATGAACCATAAAGACTGATTGAAATGTTATTATAAGAATATTACACAAATGTCATTTCTGGTTATGACATTTATCAAATCCACTTAACCTTATAAAAGACAAATTTATTTTAAAAGCAACTGCAAGCAAATTATATTTTATTGAAAATTCAGTTACAATACATTTAAGACAGATTTTCATGTTTTACAAATAAATTAATTGACTCAAGTGCAATAATTTTTATTCAAGCTGAGAATAATTTCAAAAAAACACAAAATCTATAGCTTGATTTAGTCCTGATATAAACATATATTTTCCTATTTGTTATCAAGAAAACACCAATGCAGTACTTTTAGAGTGATACTTTTAATGTAACATCTTCTTGCATCCAATTTAAATGGTAAACCAGTATTTGAATACATTTCACACACTCCTACTGTGTGTATGTTGGGGGGGGGGGGCGGGCACATGCGTGAAAACAGGAACAAGCTAATTTTCAAAGAAGAGTTAAACAGTTTGAGTGATTTTTCATTTCACTTATCACAGGGAACAAATTCCCTGTGACCATTTGTAGTCATTTTTAAAATATATTTTTGTTGCCTAGATCAAAGCCAACCAGTTTCAGAAAAGTTCATGGTCTAGTAAACATTAGTGGCAAAATAGTAACTATTACAGTCAGCCATGTAATATAGGGAAATATCTTGCATGTTTTATATCAATTTTTCACATTTTCTTAGGAAGGGAAAGCTCACTGAGAGTCAAATTATTAAAGTAAACCCAATTTTAAAAAGCATTTTACACAATAAATGGCCTACGTTTTTACCAAGTTACATTATTCTTCAATAGACAATATTCACTGAACCACCAGACCACTGGTATTGTTGACTAAATAATTTTATTTACTTTTCCATCAGTTGTGTAGCTTCTTTAGTGCTGATTTGATCCCAGAGCTTTGTGCATACTAGAAAACATTCCACCACTGAGCCACTCATCAGTCCCTTTCTCCCCTTAAATGATGAAAAAGAAATGAGGAGACCTAATTTTTAGGGATACGACATCAGAAAACAAATGCATACCATTCAGACACTATATTGACAGCTGTGGTGCTTTCCCACAGGTAGAAGTGGTATTAACACAGAACATTAATATTTTACTGTACCTCAAAACAAGACTATGGTGAAACTACCGAAGATCAAACCCTATTAGGAAATTTACAACTCATACTGTCATAAACTCTTGGTAGAAATGTAAGCACACTATTTAAACAAGAGTCATTAATGGTTTTAGTAAAGAGAATTCACTGAGGCCAGAACTAAAATAATGTGGCATTTGCTAATACAGAACTTATTTTTATTTTATAGCACCATCGAAAGTTGTATTCAACCAAAAAAATTTGGTAGCTCTAACTTCTTGAATTGAAAAGTAATCTAGCCATGTGCAAAAAGATTCTCTGATTTTAAAAAAGTCTCAAAACCAGAATTTTGACAAGATTATTCTGACTCTGCTGAAATTCTTTAGGGTGTAAGAGATGGAGAAAACTAGCTTTGAATAGAAGTCATCACAGCTAAATAAAGCTTTTCTTTTTGCCACCTCAGTTGCAGAAATAATTCCAGGGCAACAACTACTTAATTTTTAGGGGAGAATCCTTCACTGAGGCAGCAGATAAATGCTAAAGTCATGTTAGCCACAATGTGATGGACCAAAAGAAAGCAAATACAAAATTTGAGAGGTGTAATTGCTCTCTTTCCTCTAGGCTCCCCAAATAAAAAGCAACGGCTGGTAGAATCAAGGTATCTTCTCTATATACCTTAGAAAATGTTATGACTCATTTAAACTATATTTCAGAGAAAAAAATCCACTGACAATATATCATTAAATATCCTTAAAGAGTACATTTGCGTCTTGTACCGCAGTAGGGTTTCTTGTTGAGAATCAAATCTCTTGTCTCCTTTTTAGCTCTTCTTTTTTATGTCTAATTTAGTGAATTTGGTGTTGGATGTTGATTTAGCAATTACTGCAAAGGAAAGTCCAAGGTGTACATTGTGCTGCACTTAAAAATTAATTAATGCTATGATCAGTGATTCAAAATTTTATTCCATTTGATTAATTCCTTATGGAAATAAACAAGTTAAAGTAGAAAAGTAAAACTGTATGCACTGACTAGAAATATGTGAAGACATCTGATAAAAAATGCTGCTTTGTATTAAATGATTTTAAAATCAGTTTATATCGTTATAGATTTTTAAACATCTCATTTATTCTTAGATTCAAGGTTAGATTGGATAGTTTCAATGAAGATTACTTTTCCGCTACCTTTTTCCACATTCTGTTAGTGTGACTGAAGACTCAATAACAGATTTCATATAAAAATATCAAAAGTATTAGTGACAATACCTAATGTAAATGTCTTTAAAAGTATGATTCTTATGAATTTGTACCAAAATAAAGCTTCTGATAGTTCTTTAGGATCATACTTGATGACCAATTAATTATATAATAAGCAAAAGATAGTTGAATAAGTTAATATTTACATATAAAAATAGAGAATATATTCACTACAGTTAGCTTGATGATGTCTTTCAGTACTACACACTAAAGTACTACTAGGCTGATAAAAAAAGTTCATGTTTTTTTAATGTGAATTTTTAACATAATGAGACAATACTATTTTCAATTTTTAAATTTTCATCCTCCCATCAAATGAGGTACTCCATCTGAGTTAGTAAGTGGTTTTGAAAAACATGGAGTGACATAAGATAGTTCCCTGCAAGAAGTCTGGAAGTGTCTCAACAGATTATTACTGGTTCTGTCTTTACTAAGAATGATTTTTTATGGTTCTGCCCAGTCAGACCAACAGATTATGATAAGAAAACCCCAGGACTGAAAAGAGTCTACATTCCTGTATTTTGTCAAATGCCTATTTTTGTCATTGAGGAATATACCGTCTACAAAAATGAGAAAAGAAAGTAACATTAAGACTCGCTTAAGCCATTAACAATGTAGTTTAGTACATTCTACCAGCCAGCAGTTACACCATGAGTGGTCCTGACTCTGAAAGAATATTGCTTCTTTCTGTTGCTGAAATTTATAAAGCTGTAGTGTTTCTAACTTTATGCTCTTGTCATGTATACTATCCAAAAATCACATGCCCACTTAAAATATAAAAATATAATTACTCAATATTAAAATTAAACTAAACAATTTATTCTTCTTGAATGTGACATGAAAAATAAAGAAATCCTGGCTGGGGAGTCAGAAAATCAGGTTCTCTTGATTTCAAAGATCAAGGAAGTGGTCTTGACTAGTTATTTAAACTTTTGGGACTCTATTTCCTCTTCTGAAAAATAAGGGAGCTATATTGGAGAATATTAAAGACATTCTTAAACTTGATTCAAACAACAAGACAGAACCTTCCTCAGTACTTCTCAATGAAAATGAAGACCAACTACCATTACAATATAGTGTAAAAATAATTTCAGTTTTGGTGACTTTCTGTTGCTTACATTATACTTAGTAGTTTTCCAGGGCTTTTACCATAAGTATTTTGCTCTCTAATAAAAACTATTTTACATTATACATTCACTGGGATAATCTGAAATAAGATTTTAGTTATATATGTTATTTATCTTATTGTTCAAATCCTGCATCTTGTCAACTGGGTGGCAAGAGTAGCATAGGGAAAAAGAAAAAGATCTTGGTTAAAGCACATATTACAGAAATAAAAATAATAGATTTTAGTCTTTTATTTTTTATATTTAATTTTTCAATTTTCAAGGCTAATTTTTAAAAAATTATTGCTATTACTGAAAACCAAGGATCTATCATGGATTACCAGTACTAGTAAATAATTAAGAGTTTACTGACAAAATATTAATACTGTACAAAAGGAAAAGAGAATTTGATTGTTTATAGTGTATAACAACTCATTTTGCTGGTTCATATTTTAATCAGTTTCAGAATTGAGACAAAAGACTCAAAACTTTGCTTCTACTATTTCAAACCAGTCGTTAAGCACGTTGCATTCCAATTTAGAGAGGGACTTGGGGGCGTACCCTCTATAACTCCTTAAGTAGGATAAATAATTTCTTCAACAGTCACATATGTACCTAATAAGAAGCCAACAACTCCAGTGAATGCTATAGAAATATTTTTCAGGATCATCCATATATTGTAATGTTCCTTATAAAACGTAAGAATTTCAACCAAAGGCGGTAGGATCAAGGCCAACGTGCTGCTGCTCACAGCACCCACAAACGAAATCACAATGTCTAAGCGAGGAATAAGAATTGCTCCGGCACCTAGAAAATAAAAATGGATGGTTTTTTTCTAGATTTAATGTTTTATAGTTACATGAATACTAAACGTAGATCTTTACAGTACAGTAAAGCTAATGAATAGAAGTTAGACTTCCATACATTTCCCTGTGGAAAAATCTGCCATAGTTGATTCTAAACTTTAAAAAAAGAAAACAAAGAAACCAAAACAGTGAGTGACTTTTCCGGGACTTTTACTCAAGTTTATATGAACAATTTTTAATTTTTGAGATAAGGAAGTACAGATAGTTTATTTCCAAAGAATTTGCATTACTCTGTCATACAGTTCATTCTACAATACAGAAAACAAGGTAGTATGATATAAATAATACAGAAGAGAACTCATTCTCACAGTAAAGTCACAACAAAAGAAAAGGAAAATGGAAATATTCATAAATATTAATAAAACACCACTATAATTATAGAACATGAAGTGTCACTGACGAATACTAAATCAGTGAGCAAACAGTGTGAGTTCAGGATATCTGAATATTCTCAGTCTCACTAGAAGATACTTAGTAATCAACAAATAAAAAATAGCATTAACAGTGGAGGAATATGACACACACCACCTTAACCAAATAACCAAAGCTGACATCATCAATAATACATATTTATATCATATTAAAATACAAGTATGTAGTCACATAGAATGAAACTTCAATATGTATAAAGTTAGCAGAAATTGGTAAAACCAAGGAAAACTAGAAATACAATGTGTATCAAGAATGCAAAGAGTCCCTATTTATCAGATTTTTATTACTGTCATTTTCAGAATAATTTGTTATTTTAATTGTTAGGATTAGATTTGTGTTTCTCTACTCACAGCAAAAAATTTACAGCAGTATAAAAATAATTTTAATCCCAAAAATATCACAGCCAAGTGAATACAATTACTTTAGAAATACTGAAGGATTTAAGCAGCTTTCATTTTAAGAAATTCTACAATGAAAGAATTGATATAAATATGTAGTGATACTTACAAGTAAGAATAACCAAAACAGACCTTATCCCAAAATCACAGATTAGCTTCCACTTTTCATGAAATTTGGATGTGACTCCAGGGATAATAATCTCTGCTGGAACATAGAACTGAATTGAATATGTCACAAAAATGCCAAAGGAATACAGAATTTTCACTGATTGATACAACCTGTTGAAAAAAATTCAAATTTAGTCTTTTTAATATGAGATTTTCTGTTTAGTTTTCATAAGGTAAGCAAAAAATCCAGAAGATAACCTTAGGTCAAAATATACTAACTAAAAATGTTTCTTTGGAAGAAAGTTAACTAATTTCCTCCACTAACTGAATTTCTAGGTGATACACAAACAGTTCTCTGTGAAACTCCTGGAAGGCTGGCACATGGGATGCAAAAGTTCAGGGCATAATATTGGGATAATATTAATTTTGGATTATGCCAGTGTTCTGGTACTATAACCAGCTCCATGAAAGTCTAATTTTTTAGTCAGTACCTGTTTGTCATCCAAAGTGAGTACATTCCTTGTGTGGAGTTCATTCATGCACATAATACATCCTAATTCCGTTTTTTTCTCCTCTTCTCTCTCCCCTACCACCTTGATTGCTTGATCCACTCCCATTTCAGAAACATCTCCCCACTTCCTATTAACTATCTTTGGTTTTGCCCTTTATTTACAATTTGAGTTTCTCATATAAGAGAAACCATATTAAGTTTGTGAGTCTAATTATTTCACTTAATATTATGGTCTCAAAATGCACTTTCTTCCTACAAATGATGCATCGTAAAGTCATTTCCTACAAATGACTGCCTTGATGACAAAATAGTACTCCACTGTATGCCAAAACTACATTTTCTTTATCCATTCATCTGTTGATCAATATACACGCTACTTTCAAGATTCAGCTATTATGAGCTTTGCTGCTATAAGCATGGTTTTATTTGTATTGCTGTAATACAAGGTGTTCAACTCTCTTATGAAGATACCCCAAAGAAGCAGAGCTGGGTCAAATAGAAATTCTAGTTTTGGTTTTTATGGAATTTCCATATTGATTTCCACAGTGTTTGTACAGGTTTATAGTCACAACAACAATATAGAAGAGTTACTTTCCCCCTGCGCAGCCTCACCAGTAATTCTGATTATCTGTTGTCTTGATGATAGCCTTTCTTTCTGGGGTAAGATAGAATCTTGGTGGTGTTTTAGGTTGCATTTTTCTAACGGCCAGCAATGCTGAGCACTTATTGATGTGTTTTTTTAGCTATTTGTACTTCTTTTGGGAAGTATCCATTCATTTCATTTGCTGATCTCTTGAATAGGTCTTTTATGGGGGGGTAATTTTTTTCGAGTTCTTTACATATTCTAGGTATTAGTCCTCTGTCTGAGGAATAGCTGCCAAAATTTTTTCCCATGTTGTAGGTTATCTTTTCACTTGTTTGTTTCTGTTGCTGTGTATAAGCTTTTTAATTTAATATGAATCAGAACATTTCCTCAAATCTCTTTTTAAAATTCAAGCATATTTGCATGGATTTGAAATCATAAATCATAACTTCAAGGACCTACATATAAAAAATTCATATTAAACACAAAATTATGTAGCACTCCTTGCTACATAAAATCTTGGTAGGTAACATATGTCACTGGGTGCAGAAATGTCAGAATCTTAAATCCAAAATGAGGGCAAAAGTTCTATAAATCATACAACGTGAAAACTATATTAACAAGGGAAATATACATACTATGTGAAAACTATATTAATAAGAAAAATAGAGTTGTCAGGTTACTATTTCTCTTTAAAGCTCAGTGCGGCAAGGCAGCACAAGAGTTTCCAGTTTCATAAGCATCTTTGTATTTCTTGGTAATTTATTTTTTAATTAATATATAATTGTACATATACATAGGATGTGTGATTATTTTTATATTGTGACACTGTGGACAGCTTCCTGTCAGAACTCAGAATGAGTATTTTTTAATTTTTTTAAAAAAATAAAAACAGTAAAAATGATAAAGAATTTCAAAACAAGATGCAGGAAATCAACAATGGCTATCATATTGCATATGGTTATCTTCAAAACAGTTGCTCAGAACACCAGATATAGACATGCAAAAAATATCAAACAATATTATAAGCACTAACTTGCTTTCAAAGAACTAAAAGAATTACAGAATGGTTATCTTAATAAAGAGTTTGGTAAATTTTCTTTGTCTAGCCAAAGATCCTTCATGTATCAAATAATACAAGAAGAAAATGTAGACTTATAGGACTCAGAAGAACATTACAGAACCCACTCCCCTGAGTTACAGATACCTATGCTATATTTTTAAAATATTTTACTATTTTCTAACAAAATAAATACCAACCACTCTTGTACTTTTAAGAAAGAAACTGGAAAAAGAGTATGGATTAAATGTGCTGTAGCATTAGGCGCAATGACTAACACATTTTTCCCCTTTCAGCAGAACCACCACTGATAGTCACCATCTTCCAATTTAAAGCCCTACTTTCTCAACTAAGAGATCCATACACAGGGAGAATTTACTCTTTTAAGAACAAATGCAGTTACTTCGAAAAGATATAAAAGAGCTTTGGATTTCTAATAAAATAGCTAACTAGACTTTAAGCTTATTCTTGATGTCATAAGACCTAACTAAAGTAGTAAGGATTATATACAGGTCTCTACACTTTGGCCAAGCAAGAAGAAATTCAGTCATTTTCCTTTTATAACACATTCATCATAAAGGTTAGAGGAAATAAGGCTGAGTAGAAATAGATTTGAAAATATTACAAATACCACAATTAAGAAAGAAGAAAGTCCTTAAGATGAGCAATAAACCTTAATCCTAAAATTAGCTAAGAATGTACTTGTCATCTTGAGGCTCTGAAGTTAAATGTTCAAGCTACTGCAAATATACAAAATAGCCAAAAGATAGCTGCTTTACATAGTCTGGTATGCAGTTACAGAGAACTAAATGAACATTCTCATTATTATTAGTTTAAATATTCTTTTTTCACATATCTTTAGAAATTATCGCTAATGTATTTCTTAAAATACATCATTTGCACACAAGTCCAATTATTTCTTACCTAAAACTGAAGTTATACAGGATAAGAATCTCACTATTACTAATATTATTCAATAGCATTAGTTAAATGTAATTGCTATTATTTGGTGTTGCATAGAGTAAAACTGAGAAATAAAATGGTTTGAATTTTTTAGAAGTTGACATTCCTATGACTCATCAACCATTGAAGAGTAATAAAGAAGAGTGTCTAAAGAAAGTGCTAAAGCTTAAAATCATTTGTTTCACTTTTATCTCTTCTTTTTCAAAAATTCATTTATTTCTATGTTTGGTATCTAAATTTTCAATCATATTTACATACTGTTTTCAACTTTTCCATAGACATTATCAACCTTTGTTTCATTTTTGTTTTAAGCAAGTAACTATGTTAAGGTTCCTTATATATATTAAGTTTTACAAATGAAAGCACCTGACATGAAAAAGCTACCCAATAAACTCTCTCTAAAAATTAAAATGTCTCAAAGCCACGGGACTTCTGAAGATATACAAGAATATTGAGCAACTTTTAGAAAATATTTAGTGCACAGCACATGTCTTTCAAAACTCAGTGCCAAATCTCCATAAGAGTTAGAGGTAGTTTTTATTCTATTCTATGTATTCCTTAAATTACTTAGCAAGTGATTGATACTTATTAAATGTTAACTAATATTAATACATAAAATAGGTATGGATAAATAATACATCTATCGAATATGGCAAACAATACTTCAAGAATAGAAAGATTTACAGTTGGATAAAAATTTATTATACTGGAAGCAAAAATAACGTTTTAGTAAAGAGCAGTTATTTTTAGGAATTCATTTTTAATCAATATATAAATTCAATTTGTCAAAGATTTTCAGAAGTTGCAATGCTTTTTATTCTTTTCCTTGCAATGACTAACAAATCAATGACCTAAATTTTCAAGTGTGAATATCTTAAAAAGCTAATTCAGAAAGTAAGTTGTTGGTTGATTCCTTTTTTTTTTTCCCCTCAAAGATGAACACAAAATCTCCCCTTGGAAATACTCTGATAAGTCACTTTCCCTCTTGGGCCTTTCACAACACTCAAATTGAGAATCTTCATAACTTAGCTCTGCCAACAAGAAAAGAAATTATATTAACTAAGTGACTGGCAAGAGCTCCTTTCCTTAAAAGAGCTTCATCTTATTCTAAGCTAAAAAAAAATAAAACAAGATAACCATGATTATCTAGTATTCATCACTAAAATGAAGGGCTTGAGCCAGTTAATTTTCCCAGCATTATTTACTAGAATATTAAGTATGATGAAGACATTTTTTATCTGTTCCCTCTGTAGTTCTACAGCATGAAATGGTATTGGGGACATAAAAGACATACAATAAATATCTGTTGGACTAATTAGTGAATAGTGGATGACCTTCATTTTAAATATAATTTAATTAACAACAGTAGTTGTAATGAGGAGAAACAAAGTATCTGGGTTAATATCCAGTGACAACTTTACTATTAGCAAATCATTAAGAAGGTATGAGGGTGTATGAATCTTCTTTTCCCTGTGTACCTACATTTCCTTATTTATTCTTGTGCCTACTGGTGAAGCCACTATTAAGTAAGTCATTTCACTTTAGGTAACGGTCTCCTCAGAGTTCAGACAATAGACTAACAGAAGGATAAATTAAACTTCTCTAACTTATCTTTGCTTTATCCTAGGGTCTCCATCCAAGTCAGACTTACATCTCTGAGCCTACAATTTAGCATCAAAAGCCCTTTCCAGTTTCTCATGGCTGAGAGTCATCTGCTCCCTAGGATGTTCTTGTGACACACTATACCTTCTAACATTTCTTAAAAACCAGAAGAGAAGGGAAGGGAAGGTAGTATATTGAGAAAGGAATCTTGGAAATAATCCCAAATTTATTCAAATTCAAACTTCTCACTTCATAGAAGACTACAACCATAAAAAGACAGACAAGTCTCTTACACTGTTCCTCAGTCATGACTATTATTTTAACAGTCCCACAACTGCAGAGAACAAAAGAAACAGATTAAATGCTACATAAGACTTATCTACACAATGAAAAGGAATTAACCAACAGAAGCTCTCCAAAAAGAAACACTTATCTTAATTTACTTCCTGTTC